ATGTGCAAGTTAAAACAAGGAAGCTGCTGGGAATATGGCAACCACTAATCAGATATGGCTATTTAAACATAAGCTTGAATTAACTTTAGTAACATTAAAAATTCAGTCCTGCAGTTTCACTAGCCACATTTCAAGTGCTCAGTAGCCATATGTCCTATATATGCAGATATAGAAAATTTCCAACATACAGAAAGTTTCACTGGGCAGCAATGTTCTAGCAAATAATATAGAAGCATATCTTCATGACCTTGGAGTAGGCTACATTTCATTAAAAGGATAGAAAGAGTACTAAGTAAGGGCGCCTGGGTGGCTCAGTTGTTTAAGCAGCTGCCTTCGGCTCAGGTCATGATCCTGGAGTCCCGCATCAGGCTCCCTGCTCAGCGGGGAGTCTGCTTCTCCCTCTGACTCTCCCCCTCTCATACTCTCTCTCTATCACTATCTCTCTCAATAAATAAATACAAATCTTAAAAAAAAAAAAAAAAGGATAGAAAGAGTACCAAGTAAAAAGAAAATATTGAAAATTGGATCTCATTAAAATTAGGAATTCCTGTTAATCAAAAGACATCATTAAGAGACACAGAGTATCTCTATATACTACTATGGAGTGATCATAAATTTATATTTTTAAGTAAAAAAACCAAAGTGGAGAAGAATATGTTTTGTATGTTATAATTTATCCTAAAAAGCAGAGGATAGACACACATATATATTTGCTTATATATATATACATATATGTATATGTAAAAAGAAATAGTAAAAGGATAAACCATAAAATTTGATTACTTGTAAGAGGAAATAAGGACTAAAGTAGAGGAACAGACATAGTGAATACTAGACTTTTCTAAATACACTTTCTTATAAATTTATTTTGGGATCAGTGTAATATTTTACACAACTATAAAAGAAAATTAAATTTTAAAAAGCAAGACCTATTTTTTAAAGTTTTTATTTAAATTCCAGTTAGTTAAAATACAGTGTAATATTAGTTTCAGGCCTAAATTTGAAAGCAACTTAAAATAAATGAACCTAACTCTGTATGTACTTGGCAGCTTAACTACAAAGAGATGAACTCTTCCAAGATACTTTAAAACACGATGATTTGGGGGCACCTGGGTGGCTCAGTCGTTAAGCGTCTGCCTTCGGCTCAGGTCATGATCTCAGGGTCCTGGGATCGAGCCCCGCATCAGGCTCCCTGCTCCGCGGGAAGCCTGCTTCTCCCTCTCCCACTCCCCCTGCTTGTGTTCCCTCTCTCGCTGTGTCTCTCTCTGTCAAATAAATAAATAAAATCTTTAAAAAAAACCACGATGATTTGTACATGCCCAGCACAAATGAAAATAATGACAAAAATATTAAACTGATACTATAATCATATTGTTGGTGCAGTGCTGGTATTGTTTTCTAAGTCTGTTGTTTGAGCAGTGTGGGTTAACATGAGTAATTAAGTTGGTATAAATGAAAACTGGGATTTTTGTTGTGGGAAAGGAGACATATACAATACTGAAATTAGCCAGACACAAAAACATAATCATACTATATGATTCTCTTTTTATGGTGTAGGAACTCATGATAATGGTTATCTTTCAGAAGAGAGTAACGATAGATGGGTGGGGTAGGGGTGGGTTGCTGGTAATTCTCTACTTCCTTCCCTCTGTGGTGGTTGCGTGATTGGGTTGGCTTTGGATTATTCATGAAGCTGTACACTTATGATATATGAACTTTTATGTATGTTACACTCCAATTAAAATTTCTTTTTTTTAGATTTTTTATTTATTTGTTTGACAGAGAGAGACAGTGAGAGAGGAAACACAAGCAGGGGGGTGGGAGAGGGAGAAGCAGGCTTCCTGCTGAGCAGGGAGCCCGATGTGGGACTCGATCCCAGGACCCTGGGATCATGACCTGAGCTGAAGGCAGACGCTTAATGACTGAGCCATTCAGGCACCCCTCGATTAAAAATTTTTAAAGTAAGATTTGTGTGAAGCAGCTAAAACTATGCTTAGTGGAAATATATAGCTTCTTATTTTTTTTAAGATTTTATTTATTTATCGGGCGCCTGGGTGGCTCAGTTGGTTAAGCGACTGCCTTCGGCTCAGGTCATGATCCTGGAGTCCCAGGATCGAGTCCCGCATCGGGCTCCCTGCTCGGCAGGGAGTCTGCTTCTCCCTCTGACCCTCCTCCCTCTCATGCTCTCTGCCTCTCATTCTCTCTCTCGCAAATAAATAAAATCTTTAAAAAAATATATTAAAAAAAAGATTTTATTTATTTATTTGATAGAGAGAGAAAGAGAGAGCACAAGCAGGGGGAGCGCAAGAGGGAGAGGGAGAAGCAGGCTCTCCGCTGAGCAGGGAGCCCGATGCGGGGCTCAATCCCAGGACTCTGGGATCACAACCCCAGTTGAAGGCAGACGCTTAACGACTAAGCCAACCAGGCGCCGGAAATTTATAGCTTTTTTAAAAAAGATTTTATTTATTTATTTATTTTGAGAGAGAGAGCGGGAGAGAGTGAGGAGAGGAGCAGAGGGGGAGGGAGAAGGAGAGAGAGAGAGAGAGAATCTCTAGCAGGCTCTGTGAGCTGAGTTAGGGCCCAATACCAATCTCCATCTCATGACCCTGAGATCAGGAGCCTGAGATCATGACCTGAGCTGAAACCAAGAGTCAGTCGCTCAACTGACTGAGCCACCCAAGCGCCCCAGAAGAAATTTATAGCTTTAAATCCATATATTAGGGGCACCTGGGTGGCTCAGTCGGTTAAGCGTCTCCCTCTGGCTCAGGTCATGATCCCGGGGTCCTGGGATTGAGCCCCAAGGCGGGCTCCCTGCTCAGTGGGGAGCCTGCTTTTCCCTCTCCTTCTGCCTCTCCTGCTTGTGCTCTCTCTGTCAAATAAATAAATAAAATCTTTAAAAAAAATCCATATATTAGAAACAAAACCTGAAAATCAGCAAGCTAAATAAGCAGGTAGAAAACAAAGAGAGGGCCGCCTTGGTGTCTCAGTTGGTTAAGTGTCTGCTTTCAGCTCAGGTAATGATCTCAGGGTCCTGGGATGGAGCCCCACGTTGGGCTCCTTGCTCCTCGGAGCCTGCCTCTGCCTGCCGCTCCGCCTACTTGAGCTCTCTCTCTCTGTCAAATAAACAAAATCTTAAAAAAAAAAAAGAAAACAAATAGAAAATTGAATACAAAGAAAATATGAGGAAGGAAATAAAGTTAAGAGCAGAAATTAATAAAATAGAAAGCAAACATACAAGAAATAGAATCCCAAAAGTCAAAAGTTAGTTTTTGGAAAGGCTAATATAATTCATAAACTACTTCCCAGTCTAGTCGGGAAAAATGAGAGGTGACGATAACTAGCATCAGGCTTGAAAAGGGAATACCACTATAGATCCTACGATGTTAAAAAGATCATAAGAGGACATTATTAACATCCTCATACCAAAAAAAGCTGAGATGAAATTAACATATTTTGGGGAAAGAATTTACAAAACAAGAAAAATTAAAATATAAATAATTCTATTGCTGATAAAGAAATATAATTTCATGACTTAAAACTTCCCCACAAAGAAAACTAAGGCACAGAGAACATCACTAGTGAATTCCACTAAATATTTAAGAAAGAAAGATCACCAATCTAAATAAACATGTTCAGAGAATAAAAAAGAGAAAAAAAAAAAAAAACCTTTGAATTTGTTTAATAACCTTGTCACCAAACCCTTATAAGAAAGGAAAATGACAAGCCCATCTTGAGTGTTAAGTATAAAGGCAAAACCCACTATGAAGATGTCTTAACTAGTTGTTTTTATTTTGCATGAACCTCATTTTTAGACTAAACAAAACAGCTGTAATCTTTGCTTAAAGATTCTAAAGAATAAGCACAATGTGCATGAATTCAGAGAACATTTTTGAGGGTATGTCATTACAGTTCTTCTAAGAAAACAGTATATATGTAGATGGCAACCAGATGGTTCTAGAACAGCCAAGAATTTAGGATGAGACAGAAAAGTTTTCTTTTTCTCTGCAGCACAGGAGAGAGAAGATGTGATTGCATATTCATTTCTAGATTCAAAGACAAGTTCCAGATGAATATATAATGACCTTCTGTGTTTTTAGCTTGAGGAGGAAATTGTTATCCTAATTCTTTTCTTTTTCATAAACGCAGTATAAAAGAGACATGCAATTTATTTATATCCTGAACCATTCTCCTCTTGTCAATTAAAATTGGGAACAAAGTGAGTAACCACTTTGATGATTTAGTTTTTGTTTTTAAGAATAATCTTTACCCACAAACTCCTTACTTCCCATAATACTTCAGTCAGAACCCTGGCCTATAATCCACATGCACTTGACATTCTTCCAAATGTTAATTATTTCTGATACTCATATTATATCCATTATATCCAATGTAAAAGCCTCTTTGCAACTTAATCCATCTTCACCCCAACCCAGCAAAATGTATTTAGTCTCTGGAATATTATTGTTTTCCTCTAACTATAAATGTTGAAGGCAACAAACACCAACAGATCTTTATCAGTCACATTGTTAAAATTTTCCCATTCATACATTTCGCAGGCATTGCTTTTTCCTTCTTGTTATTAAGGCATTCAGTGAACACTATGCCAAGCATTCTTTTCTAAAGAATCATGATTGGGGGGCGCCTGGGTGGCTCAGTCATGAAGCGTCTGCCTTCGGCTCAGGTCAAGGCCCCAGGGTCCTGGGATGGAGCCCCACATCAGGCTCCTTGCTCAGCAGGAAGCCTGCTTCTCCCTCTCCCACTCTCCCTGATTGTGTTCCCTCTCTTGCTGTGTCTCTCTGTCAAATAAATTTTAAAAAAAGATTTTTATTTATTTATTTGACAGAAAGAGAGAGAGCACAAGTAAGCAGAGAGGCAGGCAGTGGGAGAGGGAGAAACAGGCTTCCCGCTGAGCAGGGAGCCCGATGAGGGGCTCAATCCCAGGACGCTGGGATCATGACCTGAGCCGAAGGCAGCCACTTAACCGACTGAGCCACCCAAGCGCCCCTAAATAAATAAAATCTTTAAAAAAAAAAAAATCATGATTGGATCAATATGCAATTGGATAGGAAGAATAAAGTAATAAAATTACTGGGTGAATTACAAATACTCCAGCTATCTAGAAGTTATTTTATTCATGCTCTTATACATCATACTTTCTTTATATATAAGGAAATATCCAGTCCACAAAATTATTATCAGACAATGGACTACCTAAAAAATGAAATATCAACATTGATGGAAAAAGACTTCTTAAGTGGATGAATGGGATGGCACAGTATTCCTGAATGTATGAACAATTTACCTTCGTTACTGTCACTCATTTAAGTTTAAAAATTTGGTGGCAAGGAATATTTTTCTCTGTTATTAGTTATATTTATCCTTTCATTTATTTTTTTAAGTAGGCTCCATGCCCAATATGGAGCCCAAGGTAGAGCTTGAACTCACAACCCTGAGATCAAGACCTGAGCTGAGATCAAGAGTTGGGCGCTTAAACAACTGAGCTACCCAGGCACCCCTACATTCTTCCTTTTAAATAATTTTCTAACTTCCAGATCCGTTTCCTTTCAAGTCTGCTTAATATGTGTTTTTCAAACAATACCCGACTCCCAAACTTCAGACATTACTGGTATTCTCATCTCTCTTTGTTATAGAAAACAATGAAATAAAAGAAGTTATGAATTTTCTTGATAGGAAGAGCATTTACACATTAAGTGTTTTGATACCTGAAATATTAACATTATAGTGCACCAATTTTCTCCCTTAAAATTAACTGTATTTTAATTTGCATCCACTGTGACTTTCACAGTACAAAAACGTGCATCCCTACTAATCACTTTGTTATAGAGAGGGACTGCAATCATATTTAGCAACAGAACACAGCATTGAGGTTTTTCAAGCTAGTTCTAGGACCAGAAAACCCCACTATTTTGTTGTTTAACTATTATACATGAGGAAGAAAATAACCATTGAAATAATATATTTGAAAGTGATCTTTAAACTGTTAAATATATATACATATAAAGTGGAAAAGTGAGTTAAATCTTTGCCCTTGATGTTGAACTCTTCCCTCAATGTTACCACCCAATTCATACATTAGCAAATGTATTTATTCTTTTATTTATTTATTTATTTATTTATTTATTTATTTATTTATTTATTTTAATTTGAGAGGGACAGAGAATGAGAGAGAGCACATGAGAGGGGGGAGGGTCAGAGGGAGAAGCAGACCCCCTGCTGAGCAGGGAGCCCGATGCAGGACTCGATCCAGGGACTCCAGGATCATGACCTGAGCCAAAGGCAGTTGCTTAACCAACTGAGCCACCCAGGCGCCCAGCAAATGTATTTATTCTCTCATTCAGCAAGCATTTACTCTCATATATTACATTCTATTATGTCATGTGAGAATATCAAATATGCAAAACTATAATGCATGTAAATCTATTTTATTTGCAGTTAACATCATTATTTGAGGAGAATAACTTATAACTCACTTTTTCCCTATTACCTGGAATAGTAAAACAAGGAATCTTCCATTCTCTTCCCTAATCTCTGCATACCTCCTTCCCTTGTTTCCATGATCTCTATGAGAAGTCAGAAAGTCATATCGTAAAATTGCTAAAGATTGTCCTCACTCTATTCAAAAAGTTTCTGAAATGCAAAGGGCCACTATGGATACATTTAAGTATTTGAATAATTTAACTTTCATTAGATGCATTACTCTCAAATATGGTATTTACTTATTTTAAAGTATACTGCCCTCTAAAATAATAAGAAAATTAAATCCAAGTTGAATGGACTTTGAATGGCAAATGCACCTTGAACACACTAATGTTTCTGATGTAACAATTCCCTTTCAAGCACTGAGTAATATACGGAATTGTTGAATCATTATATTGTACACCTGAATTGAATATAACATTGTATGTTAACTACACTGGAATTAAAATTTAAAAAATACTCATCTTTTATTTGTGAAGTATATCAATAAAAACACAAAATTAAAGGTTGTCAAGTCCTATACCCAATGGTTTGATCTTCTTTCTATCAATACATACAGGTGTTCTGAGACATGCTTATAATTTCCATATACTGAGAAACACTGTATGGAGCTATTAGCTATGTTTTAGAGTGTCATTCTCGAAAAGGACTACTCTGTCAAAAATGGCATTTATTTAAAGTATGACCTAGAAAATATGTTGCATTTTATTAAATAGTGTATCATTCAAGATTTAATTCAAATGCCATCTCTACCATCATGCCTTCTCTGACTCCTTCCTCCTTTCCTAGATGTTCTCTCACAGTCTCTCTCTCCCTTCTTTGAACATCCATTGCAATTTATTTTTACATTTTTTAGGTTATCATCATTAAATCATGTATTGTAATGGTTTGAGCAAATGTCTCATCTTCCATGATATCATGCTTATGTTATGCAAAGAGTAGTGTATATTTTTCATTCCCACTTTCGGTGTCAGAATGTCTTACACATATCTGTTGCACAAAATAGTTTTTTGAATGAAGGGATTTATGCTTTAAATAATTCCTTAAACAAATTCCCAAAGGGAATTAAAAACTTTCCAGGTCATTTATTACCTGTACCAGAAACTGGTGCCTTATTTCTTAATTTTAGACATTTATGCTATATTACTTTTATTGTTCTTTGATGGTTTTGAATTTCTTACCCTTGTTTCTCAAAAATAAACTATAAACTCCTTGGACAGTCTTTTAATACTTATATATGCCCAAAATTCTTAGCACAGTGGGTGCTAAGCAGGAGTGTTCAATTCAGTGGAATAAATGTTGCCGAAGACTCACCTAAGAAGCATTTCAAAACACAGCTAGCAGTCATCTCCTGGCCAAGGGAATCAAATCTCCAAAAATTTGCTTACCATGGCATTGACATTTATGTGATCCCCTTTCCTATTCCGAATATGAATGCAGGATACTGGCAAATTCAATCCTACCCCTGTAGCCAGATTTCTCAGGTCAGCAGTACTGTATTCCCCACGCAACAGCAAACTGTTATTATCAGAACCAAGTCCTAGAGAGGCCTGATAGAGATAGGTCTGAGAAAGTCTCTCAACGGTAGTGACGTCTACTGTGGCTGATAACATGCAAGGACTCGAAGCCATCTTCCTCGCATACCTCAGTTCCTCTGGGGAGCGACAGCACCTTTGAGAACAACAAACTGGGCTCTGGTTCACCTTGATGCACAAAAAGAAAAGTAACCACCCCAGAAATAAAAAGGAAATACAGGCCAGAGCAATTACTAAGTACAGGTTCTGGGTAGAAAGGTGGCCTCCTGTTTCCCAGGTATCCTCAAAGTCTGGAAGGACCTGAGGGGCCGAGTTGCTCAACAGTACACCCAATGTGACAGAAGAGGAAAGTGATGGGTCTCCCTGGTCCCGAACCACGACCACCACCCTCTGTTTAACCGCATCACTGGGAAGAATTAATCGGGCAGTTCGGAGCTCTCCCATACTGGCTGAAATTCTGAAAAGGCTGGAGTCAGAAGCCTGAGAAATATGGTAGGAAAGCCAAGCATTAGAGCCACTGTCTGCATCCTCTGCTACCACTTTTGTGACCAAGTGTCCACTTCTGGCAGAGCGGGGCGCAATCTCCACTGGAATGGAGCCATTTCTGGACACGGGAACCAAGATGACTGGAGCATTATCATTCCTATCTACCACAAACAAGTTCACAGTCACTGTTGCACTCCTGGGAGGAATGCCACCATCCCGGGCTTCCACTTGGAAGTGAAACCCCCTGAGCTGCTCAAAGTCAAAGGACGTTTTGGCAGTGATAGCCCCGCTGGATGATTCTACTGCCACCAAGCTAGAGGCCGTCTGCCTTTCAGAGATAATATCCAACAGCTCATAGAAGACAAGGCCATTCTTCCCCAGGTCGGGATCCTGGGCAAACACACAGCCTAGAGAGGCCCCAGGACCATTGTTTTCAGCCACAAAAAGTTCCTGTTGTGGTTGAGCAAAGCTTGGTGAATTGTCATTCACATCAGCAACAGACACAGTCAGTGTCTTGAGGGTGCTCAAGGGGGATGAGCCACCATCTGAGGCAGTGATCAGGACCTGGTATTCGCCGACCTGCTCCCGGTCCAGCGGCCCATCAGTCAGCAAGCTGTAGTAGTTGTCAAAGGAAGCCTTCAGCTTAAAAGGGCCTCCACTGGACATGCTACAAACGACCTTACCGTTGGGACCGAGATCCTCATCCCTGAGACTGAGGAGGGCAATCACTGTGCCAGGGGCAGCGTCCTCAGAAACTGAACTGGACAGAGTCAGGAGATTCACCTCGGGGGCATGATCATTCACATCCGTCACTTCCACCAGCAGTTTGACAGTATTAGCTAAACCGAAGGTGCCCTCATCCCTCGCCTCAATGTACGCCTCCAACAACGTTTCCGGTGGACCTAGTGACGCAGCTACCCGCACCTCCCCAGTTCTAGGGTGCACGTGAAAGTGGTGTCGCAGCGCTGCTCGCGTGCTGTTGCTTAAGGAGTACCGGATTTCCCCATTGGAGCCTTCATCCGGGTCCGAGGCCTGAACTCGTAGTAACACAGTCCCGTTCGGTGCAGTCTCTGGTACCTTGGCGCGGTACACTGGGCGCTCAAATACCGGCGCACTGTCGTTTGTGTCCACCACTATGATGGTAACTCGTGCGTCTCCGGAGCGCGCGGGCCGCCCGCCGTCCCTAGCGCTGAGCACCAGCTGGTGGGTGGCGCGCTGCTCCCGATCCAGCGCTTTCGCTAATACCAACTCCGGGTATTCACTGCCGTCCACCTGCGATCCCATGATCAGGCGAAAGTGCTGGCTGGGGCTCAGACTGTAGCTTAGGACCCCGTTGCTTCCCTCGTCAGCATCTTGGGCATTAGGGAGAGTAAAGCGGGCTCCCGGCATCAGGAACTCGGGGATGTGCAGCTGCACGTCGCCGGCAGGGAAGAAAGGCGAGCTGTCGTTGGTGTCCACGACGTGAACTCGCATCGGGTGTAGCTCCAGCGGGTCCTCGAGCACCAGCTCATAGGTCAAGACGCAGACAGCTTTGGTCTCGCACAGCCGTTCGCGGTCCGCCGGCTCTAGGACCACCAAGCCGCCGCTGGCCCGATCCACCCCGAAGTAGGGCTCGCGGTGGCCGGAAAGGAAGCGAAAGTTCCTCAAGGACAGAGCGGCCGCTGACAGCCCCAAGTCCGCGGACACATTGCCTACGGCTACGCCCCGCTCGGTCTCCTCCAACACTGAGTATTCCAGCTGTCCGGCGGCAGAGCCGCAGGAGACCCACAGACATAAAACCGCCACCTTCCAGCCCGCCATCCTCCCTCTCGGCGTCCTCGCTCCACCAGCAGTGACCCAGGACCATGCTCCGGACTCCCGGAGAGCACGAACCCTAGGAAAGAGCAAGGGCCGGCCGCCCTCCGCAGCGGGCTAGAAGGGCACGGATCGCCGACGTTCGGCCTCCTGAATATACTGGAATTGCCCGGGACTGGCGGGCTGGAAGGTCTGCTCGCCGGACTGGAGCTTTGGCAGCCGTCTGGGAAAGCGGGGCTGGCCGGTGCGGAGGAGCGCAGCGCCGCCTAGGGGTGCAGAGACGAGGTAAACGGCTCGGGCTAGGGAGGCGCCGTCTCCATTCCCCGCTAGCTGGGATCTCTCCGAAGTCCCGGCGGCCCGCGCCGGGCCGGGCAAGGAAGACGCTCGGGGAAACCAACACATCTTCCCTCGACCGGCGTTTCTAAGGACAACGCCCTAAGACCCGCCGCGTCTTAACCTCCACAGACGCCGCCTAAAGACTGCTCGTAGCTAGGGCTGAGCTCGGCTGGGCTCCTCTCGCCACTGTTTGACCGCGGAACGTCTAGGGCCGGGCGCTCGGACCCCCAGAACCCCTACAGTGCCCGCGAGGAGAGCGGAATTCCCAGAAAAACCGCCGGGCGGTGGCGGCGAGAGGCGGTAGCGGGACCCTGAATGACCACGCCTTCGAAGCTTAAGGAAACAGGAGCCCCCAAACTAAGGGCTGAGGTGCATCGCATGCTGGATTCCCAGCCTCTCTGCTGCGGGTTAAAGTCTCTCCTGCACCCTTTTTTTTACAGCAGGAGCCAAGAATTCAATAGAGGCGACCAGCGAGGGGCAGATTGGGGAATAGGGTCCTCCTCAAGCTTCCCCGGCACTCTGACTTTTCGAGGCACCCGGGTGGGTGAGTGCAAGGCTTACAGTTCGTTTGGCTTTTTGTGGGTCAGCAGTTTCTCTTTCCCCAGGAGGCCCTACTACGGAGTGCCTCACAAGCGGCCCTGGACGTTCTGGATGAGAGGTTAGAAACCAGTCCGTACAAGCACCTGCAACTCAGAAAGACTGACACTCATCCCCAACAGGACGTGCGAAGTGTAGTGGGAAGAAAGTAATTGAGATACTCTCCAGAGTGTGACCAGGAAACTATTCTGTAAATTTACTCTCTGTAAATATTTAGAAAATAGCATTGAGGCAGGGTAGGAACTGACTAGCCGCCCATACGTTCTCCAATTTCGTTTTTAGGCCGGTCCCCTGAAGGGAAATAGGGATATTGATCAGTTCTATGAAAAACATCTCCGAGCTACAAAAAATATCTCCAGATTTCGCCTTGCACCCTACAACCAGGGGATTTCCCTGAGGGGGAGGCGAGCTGAAAAAAGAGAGTGCCTTCAAAAGACTATTAAACACTAAATTTCTTAAACTTCTTTTAATACAATTGCAGGGTCCAAAGCCCCAGGAACCAAAATTTGAAAGACAAAAGCTGAATACTGATCAAGAATTGAAGCTTTCAGGGCAATGTTCATTCTTTCTTTCTTTTAAGATTTTACCCATTTATTTTTCAGAGAGAGAGAGAGAGAGAGGACACAAGCAGCAGGAGCGGCAGGCAGAGGGAGAAGCAGGCTCCCCGCTGAGCAAGGAGCCTGATGTGGGAGACTCAATCCCAGGGCCCTGGGATCATGACCTGAGCTGAAGGCAGACGCTTAACTGACTGAGCCACCCAGCCATCCCAGGGCAATGTATTTTCTGCTCAGAAAACTGCCTAGAAGTGTTGATAATTATTGAAGCTGAATGCTGGATACAAGGGAGCTAATTACACAATTCTCTTAACTTTATTGTATGTTTGAATACTTTAGAATACTATCTTAAATTGCTGATTAAAATGAGGGGTGGGGTGGCAGGCTGTTCCAGCATTCTGGTTTTAAAACTGAAAGTGGGATTGGTAAATTCATTATGCCACTAAGAACCAATCACCTCCCTGGAACAATACAAACCCAAACCCTTATCTCTTCCAGGGAAGCATGGCAAGCAGCAACATAAGGCAATTTAAGTAGTAAATGCTCTCCACTAATTTGTCTTTCTGAGTTAAGGAACCAAGAAAATCATTGACATCAAGTCTTGGATAAAACTAAAGCAGAAAACATGTCAGCCCTGTGAAGTGTTAGGTAGGGTCATAAGTATAGCTATCACGGGGAATGCTCATTAGGATGTGAGATAACCCATAAAAATTAAATTTATTCAGCAAATTTCAGAACCAAAACTAATTATCTACTTCAGTGCCAGAGATTAGGATTTGCATTTCCTCATTTTCGTTTAATGCTGCCAGCTAAGCTAACAGCTTTGGGGTTGTAAGGTTATACTTTTCACTTTTCCATTAGCAGCAGATGAAATACATCTGGAGAGACTAACTCAACTTTTGGAAGGCCCCTGATTTTAAGACCTGCAATCAAGTTTCCAGTTATACTGGGTTTAGGATTTCTAAGCTTTGTCTAGGAGGACAGTATGTGTGGTGGATTAGTAAATGGGGAAAAGGAAAAATTCATACTGAGAATCAACATGGAAAATCTTGACAAAAACTCTTCCCCCTTCACACACCTCTCAGACTTCTGGTTTCCTCCTCTTTCCCATTTCTTTGTCTAAACTGCCACTGATGATTATTTTCAAAGGATTTAATTTCTGTCAAGAATAAGTGAATAGCACTCACCTAGTGGGATTTGTCCTGCCATCTGCCTCCCTATCTGTAGATAAACCTGGGGTTTGTGGGAAAGCAATATTTAGGAGACATTTGGGATATTTAGATATCCCAAAGATGAAGTCTCAAGAGTTTTTCCTTTTGTATAAGATAACTAGGTGAACATTAAATCATAAATTGATAAAACTTCTCTTTGGCAGAACCTAATATTTCATTTTGCCATTTTATGCCATTTTCCATAGTTTCCCCTAATTCAGGCATTTTCAAGCTTTAATTAGGCACAAGTACAACTTTAAGTGGACTCAATACAGAAAGTCTTAATTTCTGCTTGGGTTCTATTGCCAAGACTTACTATTATAAAGCTCTCCCAACCAAATTTGGCCTTAAGTTATAAATTCAAAAGATTTCTAGCAATAATGCATAAGCTCCTACTAGAGATCTTGCAGCCAAATGAGAAAATAGTAAATCTGATACATACCACAAAAGTGACGAGGGATGGAAGCAGAAAAATGTTCACATTTAGCCCAGAAGGCCTGCATAGTTTTAATAAGGCTCAAATACATCATTAAAGGGTCTCATGACTGCCTGTATATCTCACTGGTAGTTAATATTGAACTGGATGATAAGCACCAGAGAAATCTTGCAAATGTAGTTTTATGAGTAGAAATTCAAAGAAATATTTATGATCTAATACTCCCTGCATGTCCCCTCTCGCTTCAGCACTAAGCATATATCCACCAGCTTCATACAGCCACAGTGCAGCTGTTTCTGCCCAGGGGTCCTGTCCCCGCACTACTTAAATAAATTACTAAGTTGCACCATATTGTATCTCAAGAATTTCTTGGCCCTTGTGCTCGACGACCCACAACAAAAGAATATTGCACTTAAAACAAAATTAAGATTTGATTGATTGATTGATTTGTCAGAGAGAGCGCGCACAAGCAGGGGGAGCAGCAGGCAGAGGGAGAAGCAGGCTCCTTCGATGCGGGACTCAGTCCCAGGACCCGGGGATCATGACGTGAGCTGACGGCAGATACTTAACCAACTGAGCCACCCAGGTGTCTCTAAACCAGATTTTCTTAGTGCTTAAAATTATTCCTTGGGAATATATTATCTACTTAAACTAAATTTAAAGACATGATATCAGCATAACATTAAGCACATTTTCATCCTATAAAGGCTGATGAAGTGTCTAAAGCAAGTCTTCTCACCCCTGCCCCCAAATCAAGTCTAACAGAGGAGTTCTTTGGGGGTAGAGATCTATATTACTCAAATTTTGTTTCTTAAGTATCTAGCTAGACTCTGGGCACACAAATTAAGTGGCTAAAGCACTCTCAATATACAACATCCTATGTCACTTTTTTTTTTTACTTGCATCCTTTACCAATAACACATTACTACAGAATTTCTTTCTCAAATTTCTAATCCCAAGGAGCTAGTTTTTCTCCATGACATAATACCATATAAAGTATCTTGAACTTTTCTTCGAGAATCTTCACTCTGACTCTATGTTGTGTTTGCTCACTACTTTTTACAATTATGTACCAATTTTCCAAAAATTACCTTTTTCTAAAAATCTTTTTCTAGGGGTGCCTGGGTGGCTCAGTCGTTAAGCGTCTGCCTTCGGCTCAGGTCATGATCCCAGGGTCCTGGGATCGAGCCCCACATTGGGCTCCCTGCTCAGTGGGAAGCCTGCTTCTCTCTCTCTCCCACTCCTCCTGCTTGTGTTCCCTCTCTCGCTGTGTCTCTCTCTGTCAAAAAAATAAATAAAATCTTTTTTAAAAATTTAAAAATTAAAAAAAATAAAAATCTTTTTCTATTTCATCTTCAAAGTGTAGCCCTCAGAACCTAAAGTCATACTCCAGGTTGGCCACATCTGACATAAAAAGAGGAGATCTTTTTCTCCTTTATAAGAGATCTTTTCTCCTTTATAAGAAGAACATATATTAAGGCATGTGGTAAGGTGGGGGTATAGGTCCTAGCAAGAATAGAAGAAGGAAAAGGAACAAAAACAGTTTTTTCATGTGGTCCCTTCAGTTTCCCTGTCTTACACATGCCTTAATGTATGTCCTCCTTGTAACAGTCAAGGAGTTAATGGTTTCTTCAGAGTCTTCCAGCACAACAGATAACATCTAAGGAGTGACCAAGAGAGGTCCTCACAACTGTTTTCCAAGACCACGGACTCCAGAGCCTCAGTGACTTATGGAGGATGTCTAAGAACTCATCCTTGTTTTGACCAATTCCTGAATGTCTGAGGGGACAGACCACTGTCTTCAATCCAAACCCTAAATGCCAAGCAAAGATTAGATTCTCTCTCTTTCCTTTCTGAGTCTCCCAGACTGTCTGTATCTGCTCTCTCCATGAATCTTCAATAAACCCTGCTCTCACTTCCTCTGGGCTCATGTTTGATCTCCATCCTGTGTGAAGCCAAGGACCCTCTTGGCTGGTCCTGTGGGACCCCCTCTGCATCCTTGGACCCAGCCAGCCTGCATCA